AGTAAATAAATTAATAGCTCCTGTCACATTGATTCATCTATTGCATGTGGGTACTCAATAAATGTTAATTGAATTAAATTAATAACATTTGCTCAACGGTAATAAAAAATTAATTAACTGTCTATCTTTTCTGTTACTTAAGTTTATGCCCATTGGTTCTTGCAATTACTTCTAATCCACACATGAATTTTCTATTTCACTGACTTTTAAGATACACTTTAATTTTTTTCTAAGAAATATAGATGAGTTTCTAATTTTTGTCCTAATTTTGGTTTGTATTTTTCTGTTGAAAAAAATTATTTTCTCTAAGTTAATGTCAAGAACTATGTATAACATCCCAAATATAGTTTCACGAGTTCCTTATTTAATTCCAAAGTAGTTTTTTCTGCAGAAGATGTGATACCACTTTTTATGTGTTTCTTCTTTGAGCTTATGCTACTTTATATTACTTTGGGTGCAATGTCAAATAATACCGTCAAGGAAAGAATCTGAGAAAATTATTGTTAGCATTCCATCTACAAAAGATGGAAGATGTCAGTAACATTCACCCAAAAATTGTGACTCACTTCAGATGTCAGAATTCTGGGTTGAACAGACTGGGTTCTCAAATGTGTATATGTCAGATGATTTTCTAATGAGCAACAGATAGTTGCCACAGCGGAATGAAAAAATAAAAATATAAACAGAGATATAGAATTAAAATAACTTTATGAATGGCAGTTTAACTTCTCCATAAAATTCTCTCAGTACAAGCCTAGTGTGCTCCAAATGGTTGCTTAATGTAGCACACCACTTACATTCAAAATGCTATACTTAAAATTGTCACAAAATTAAAAAGAGAATCATATACCACTTGGCTGTATACCGTATTCTCCGCATGTTCTTACATTCCAGTAACCTCTATCCAACTTTTTTTTGTTACTGAATTACTTTGTGCAAAAGCAATTTAAATTACATGCAGCCTGACTACGTGTGATAATTTGAACTGATTGTTAATTAATTCTGTTAAGTAAATAGCTGCTGCAATCTCTATACTCATCAAGGTTTCGTTATCTATCAGCTCTGTCTGAGCTGCTCTCTAACGTGCAGTATAAAGCAGCTGTGACTGAACAGGTAGGAAACCCTGAGTGTGCAAGAAGGTAGTTTCGCTTTGCAAAGACTGCTCAGGGAGAGGCAGGTCTCTAAAATCTAGTTATTTGCAAGGCTCAATTTTGGGCAGGTGACACATCATGGGATTTAGGGTAAAGAAGGTTTAGCTGATGTGCAGTCTCAGCAGTTAGAGAGCAGAGATAAAAGTCAAGAATAAATCAGAGAAAATGTTGTATGATATAAAAGGGGCAAGGATAAGAACAAAGCTTTTGGAAACCACCAAGCCTAGGTTTGAATTCTAGTTCTCCCATTGACTAACGAGAAGGCCTTGGACAACTTACCTAAATAAACTCTCTAAGCTTGCTTACCTTCATCCATCTGTTAACTGGGGATACCCATTCATACATTTCCCATCTGTTCAAGGAGGCTAACAATATCTACCTCTTAGAGTCTTTGTGATGCTTAAGTTCAATAAGGTATATAAGTGGTAGCATACAACTTGACATAAAATGCATGCAACTGTGTGTGTGCACATGTGTGCATGTGTGCAAAGCAGTGGTTTCAATCTGAATGATTTTATTCCACAGGGGAAATTTAGCAATGTCCACAAACATTTTTTATGGTCATGACCTAGTAGTATGATAGGAGCTATGGGCATCTAGTGGGTTGAGGACAAGGATAGTGCCAAATACTCTACAATCTCCCCATGACAAAAAATTATTTGGCCCAAAATATCAATACCGCTCTTAATGTTCTAAGGCATAATTCAAATGTCCATCTGTTTGTAATATTAGCTGATGACTGGGTGCTTTGATATCCAAGTAACAAAAATAAACTAATTACTTTCGTCATCATTAATTTGGTGAATCCCTCTCAGGTAAAAAGAAGCCTAAAGTTTCCCCATCTGTTGAGTCAATTCTATTTTAGTATTCAGTATTCAATACTGTGTTAATTACCATCAACAATAGGTGTCTTCATGAGCTCCTATTTCTGCTCATCCTTTTTAGGGTGGATCAAATCACAACCAAGAGATTTAAAGCCAGCACATAAGGGGAATAAAAATCAAACACTGTTGAAAAACAGGGTGGTTTGAAGGATCAGAAAGAAACAAAAATGACCTAAGACAATTATGTGTACTAAGCTGTTAGCTCTGGTGCCAGTTAGGAGCCTTCAGAAAGTGACTATCTCATGGTTGGTTTCTGAAGATCACTGATGCACAAGTTAATGGGGTGTTCTCTCTCTTTCCTCTGTCTCAAAAGCAGAAGGCCCTAGCACAGTGGTTCCCAAACTTGTCTACATGTTGAAATTACCTGGGAAGCTTCAAAGCCCACCCTAACCCAAACCCCCACCCCTGTGAAGTATTGTGATTAAATTTGTCTGCTGCAGAGGTGTATGAACTTTTAAAATTTTCAATTTTTTTTTTTTTTTGAGTTGGAATCTCACTCTTGTCACCCAGGCTGGAATGCAGTGGCACGCTCATAGCCACTGCAGCCACCACCTGCTGGGCTCCGGCGATCCTTCCGCCTCAGCCTTCCAAGTAGCTGGAACTACAGATGCTCGCCACCATGCCCAGGTAAAATTCCAACTTTTTAAAAGATTTCCCAGGTGATTCTACTCTACACGAAAGTCTGGGAACCACTGTCCTAGGAGGCAGGACCACAAGTAGAGATTTCCATCTGCCCCAAACAAACGACTTTGGAAAACACAGTGAAGATGGGTTTGGCAAAAATGTATTTCTTACTCCGAGCTACATAAACATGATAAACCCCAACTAAGTTGCCAATTGCATTATTAATTTCAGTCACTAGATGAGCAATGTTGAATCAACCAAATATTGTGCTAGCAACAGGAATGTAATTCCCCAGAACGCATCTGAACCACCTCTCAATAGTGCCACCAGGACTGTTGCTTGTTTAGGTCTTAAGATATTCCTGGGAATCAGCCTGGTTGCATGTTCAAGAACTTCTTCTGTTAATTCCTTTCGCAACCTGGGGACTCTACTTAATGGGTGTAAGTAAGTTATAAATTAACTATCCAGTCTAATGCGATTTCCTGGTATGCTTCTCTTTCATACCTCCTCAATCCTGTAACTTAAGCGTTGACGTCTTTGCTAACTTGCTTGATGCTTGTGAAAGCCAGGATCAATGCCTTTCTTAGTCATCACCATATCCCCAATGTTCAGCCAGTGCTATTTACATAACAGAATGCAATTATTTTATGGAATGAGTGAATGAATGTATTCTTCCTTTGGTATCCAAAGGTAATTGGTTCCAAGACTCCCCCCCTCCCCCACCATGGATACCAAAATCTTTGAATGCTCAAGTTCCTGATATAAAATGACATAGCCTCCACACATCCTTAAAGCCATATAGCCTCCACACTCCTTCTATATACGTTGAATCATCTCTAGATTACTTATAATACCTAATACAATGAAAATACTATGTAAATGGTTGTTACGCTGTACTGTCTTTTGTTTGTATTATTTTTTATTATTGTATTGTTATTTTGGGAGTTTTTATTCAATTATGTTCTATTGGCAGTTGATTGAATGTGGGGATGTAGTACTCGTGGATACGTAGGGCCAACTGTATAGACCTAAACCACATAAGGCACTTGGCCGTCTCTGCCTTCTCCATAATCTCAGTCTAGGACTTTGCCAAAAGTTCCCTGAACATCTCTAACAATTGTGCCAGCTGGCTATGTGGACATAAAGCATGTTACCAAGAAGCACACTCCCAAAGCCATATAGGTTATCTGCTGAGTAGGGACTTAAATCCCAAGGCAGAGAAAGGGATAGCCACTGAGAGGTTTTGAGGGCAGAAGTAGAACTGAGCTTATAGACTATTCATCTCTATCCATTTTTCTTTTTCAGGGGAAGAAACTGAGGTTTGCAGTGATTTGACTGAGATCATGTAAATCACACAGCAGTACTACCCAGCATCTGAGGCGGGGGGTGCGGGGATGCAGGGGGGGAATCTAAAAAAAACCCAGAATTATCTTTTTGGCAGGCAGGCTACTTGTAGTACACTCAGAATTGGTTCCTCTGGATCAAAAGACAACCAAAGTTTTTAACTGGAAGATTTGAGAAGGTTGCATGATGATTTGTGGAAGAAATGTCCCAAGTTGTGGCAAACAGGTGACTGGTTCTTCCACCATGACAATGTACCTGACCGTCTACAACACACTGAGTGTTCGGCAGTTTTTGACCAAAAAAAAATCACATGACCCCCATGCCCTACCCTCACTATTCACCAGATCTTGACCCAAAAGAGTTTTGTTTTGTTTCCAAGGATGAGAAAAGTCCTTAAAGAGAAATATGCTGCTGATGTGGAATAGGTGAAACAAAATTTTGATGTATAAAAGGCATCAAAATTGATGAGTTCAGAAACTATTTGACCAGTGGAAAAAGCATCTTAATAGGTGTATTGCAAAAAACAGAGTATTTTGAAGGTTACTGAAGTTTAAACATGCAAGAATAAATATACAATTTTTTATAAATAAATTCTGGGGTTTTTTCAGGTCTCTCCCTCGGTATGAAACCTTATTCTGATTCTCAGATTCAGAATGCACCAAGACAGTACACTGAGACAGTACTATGAGATTTTGTTGGTACAAATGAATGAATTCCTCGATTCTCCCTATATGTCACCAAAAAAAGTAGAAATAAATAAATTACTGTGATAGGTGAAACTTCTAATTTGCATAAAATGTTATGACCTCACTCTGTAGTCTCACTTACACTTTTACTTGTAATTATCCTGTTCAATGCTTCATTCTTTTTGTCAAGACTTCATTCATATAAAAGTCTAGGGTGTAAACTTTTCTGTAAATGTCCATTCTTAGATTACTAGGTCATGTAAACTATAGTGGGTTTGTGTATGTGCTTTTTTTTTTCTTTTTCCATCTAGATACGCAACTCACAAATGAAAAGCATGCAGACGAGAAACCTAATAATGCTATCATTATAAAGTCAGTATCTGAATTCAATATCACAGATGGACCAGCCAAGGAAACCCCCAATGCGAAAACACTGTCAGAATCCAGCACATCACTGTCCTCCCTTGAAGAATGCCAAACGAAATTCTCCTACCTCCAAACTGATACTTCAGTTCATCAGAGAGACACTGATGGTATGTTTCTCAGAATTCAACCCATCTCTAAATAAAGCTCCCCAACCCCCAACCCCTGTAAAATCATCACATATGCTGTTAGAAAAAAAAAAGTCTTTATGAATATTAAACAGGAAGACTTCGATTTGAAAACCCTGGTGAATGACACATGTCAAGGTCACTTTGCAGTTATGAGGTGCTTGGCAGATTGTTTGCTCTCAAAGCTGGGAATCGAAGGCAATGTGTGTTTTAAATAGCTGTGGTGGGGCATAACCACTCTAGCTATGAGACTATGAAGTAGAGAAAAGAAAATGGCAGACTTTTTTCCTCTCTTACATGTGGGACTATTCAGCCTGTAGCTCTAGACTGAGAGAAGGAGTAGAAGGCAGAGTGGAATGGTATTAAACTGCTAGAAATATATAAACAGAAACAGTATAAAATATTAAGATGCTTCCATCAGCAATCTATGAAAAAGGGGTGGTTCCTCCATGTAATATCACTTCCTGGGTATTCTGATCAGTGCAAGGCTAGACCAAACCATCTCTGTATATGACACAAAGGGGATATTCCGTTTGCAAAGCAAGTTTCAAATTGTTCTGGTGGTAAACGATCAGCACAGTCAAGTTCAAAATCATGGACTCCACACCAAGACATGGAATTCCACTCAGGTTAACTTTACAGTGACCTTTACAGGAGATATAAACCATTCAAGAATTTTGTAGTATTCAATATCTACATTTACATTTAAAGAAAGCCTGGAGTTTCTCAAAGGAAAATGTAACAGGATATGGTTTCTGGGCCACATTTAAATGCATATTTACTTTTTGAAACTAAGAAAAAAAGATTAAATAAACTTTATATGACAGTACCTTTGGAGTCACATCAGTTTCACTCTTGCCCCTGAAGTTTATTAACTACATAATACCAGATGAGACTTTTTTTTTTAACCATCTCTGAATCTCAGTTTTTCAGTTCTATAATAGGGCTAGTAACATATCATGGGGCATTTTGAGGATCAAATAAAATAACATGTGTAAAGCACCTAGCACAAAAGCTGACACACAGTGGGTATTCAATTTCAGCTTTGGTTATGATTACAGTTTTAATAAAGTAAGGAGAGAGAAGACTTCTAACACATGTAATATATGTGGTGTCTTGTGCACATGTTGTCATGGATGCCTTAGACCAAAAACTACAAACTTGATTGCAGCAGTTGCCAGGAGAGAATATGTATAGCAATAAAAGCTGAAAGTAAACAATAGGGATTGGTGAGGACTTTGGCAAGCTAGAGAACATTAAATCTCACTACGTCTACTCTGATAATTGCCCGAAGGAAATACAGGCCTAAAATGTCAGATCTAGGCATTTTCTAAGAAAAGCCAGAAACCAGGAGTGTTGTGTGAAATTTCTATGTTTTCTAATGTTGATAACTAGTTCTATTTATTTTATAAAACTCAAGACACTCCCAACAACACATCTTTGGACCAGCTTTGGCCTGTAAACATTAGGTTGTGATCTTGGGTTCAGGATAATGCTCAAGTCCCTAGTGTTGGTAAAGGTTCATGACAGTCAAAAAAACAATTCATGCAGGAGATTTCTCTGCAAAAGCATCTTAAATGCTAGAGCATTTTATCAAATTTTACCAGAGATGCATGGATATTGTTCACGATGTGTGTCTGGTTAATAATCCCAGAGTTAGGAATTGCCATTATACATATCTACACAATGAAATGCAGTATCCCCCCAAACTACTCTGATCTGTCCTATTAGGGACACTGGAAGAATGGAAAGGGCCTAACTGCCTAGCACAATACCTGAACCTTTGTATTCCCAGGGAAGGGTCAAACTAACTACTCCATTGAAATGGCAACTGATACTTAAAAGCCTCATGCAAATAAAATAAAATATCAGGTTATTCTTCATTCTAAGAGCAAAGGAGATTTATGAGGATGATTGAACCAGGCTGTTTTTTTCTGAAGGACTGAGCAGAGAGGCCAGTGTGAACCAGAAAATTCAGGTTGTAAGCTAACGGCATGGGTGATGTAGCAAAATCTTCCCAATGAAGTAAAGAGCTTTTGGTACCTGGATAAAAGAGAAAGTGAAAAAAGAAAAGCACAAAGAAGAGTGATAAGAAACTCTCATTATCCTAAACAGCAAACAGCAAGGAAATCAAGAGTTAAGTTAGACTCACTTCATTTTAGAGAATTTTTGATAGTAATTAATTTAAGGATGCAGAAATTGAGAGCTGGGGTCATTGTTCGTACTGAGATAAATACAGAAATATCTTTTAGGAACAGCAGGGAAAACAGAAGGGGAAAGAGAAGATTGCATCCACTTTCATGTAGTTTGTGGTTAATTTATTTTCAAATGTATAAATGAGTGCATATGAATGGATGCTTAATTGCTAATATCTATTATTTATATACATTGCCCCACTTAAAACAGGATGGAAAAGCCTCACACATGCAGATTTTGTAAAATGTGTTACATCCATTAGCACAGTTCATGGTGTGTGCTCTGATGGGAATTTAAAAGGATCTTTACTGCACATCACACACTATGTGCTGCAACATTACTTTATTATTAAATTGTGGTTCGTCGTATGTGGTCCCTTTCCTGAATAAAATGGAGAAAGTCCAGAGAACTGTCTGTGTCCCTGCTTCTGATTCTACACTCTTCTGATTGCTAAAGCATCCCTGTGGATAAGAAAATCAGAGATACATGATATTAGAAAACAGGCCCCTGAAAAAATAATCCTGAAAATATACCTAATTGATGTATAATTTTGAATTTGAGACATCTCATCCAGGTGGAAGAGGAAAATCATAAATACAAGATACCTCAAAAGAATAGTCTTAATTACACCATGGACTGCTGAATAAAATGATTACATTTTCTACCCTGTAAATTTCATACAATTAAATGCAGTAGTGTCACCTTATAAAATGTTTCAATTTTATAATTATTTCAGTTCATTTGCTCAGAAAAAAACATAAGCACAAATTTACTAAGTATCACCCAAATTGAGTCATTCTAGTTCCTAAGAACTGACTTGAGTGTTAGTTGTGCTTGTCTGAACTTAAATAGATCTTGACATATTTAAGTAGCTATTAAAATTGATAACATCAAGGATGATACCCCAGCTAAAGAAAGGCATTCAGTCACACTTTATTTATTCCCATTCTACATTACAGACATTTTTTTTTTCAATAACTTAATGTAGGGGGAGTGGAAGCTAATTTTTACACTTTTGGACCAAAAACTTTTAGTAATTCATTGAAGCCATTGTGTCATGTTGCCACATTCTCTTTAATAGCTCACGAACCCATTAGAATACTAACTTTGGGGCCGGATCCATTTTCCTCTTTTTTTTTTTTTTCTCTCTTTGTTTTGGGTGGGAAGGAGGAAGGATTGTGATATATCTGGAAGGATTCTTGCTACTTTGAATAATGATCCCCAAGGTAGCAGGAGGTGTGTTTCTGAAACCGAAAAATGCTTCAGGAACTAGGGTGGGTGCTCTTGTCCCTCCTGCCTCCTAATGGTATGCACCAAGGTAGCAAGATCAGAAGTTGAGCAGGCAAAGTCAGGGAGTACAGGACAGTGACCGTGAGGCTGCCCTCAGGTACAGTATGTTTGTAGAATCTCTTTGTGTTGTTACCTTTTCCACTATAATTAAACATGATGCTTTCTGGTGAGACAGATTCTCCCTCTTAATTAGTCAATTCCCAGTGGTACATTTAGCACCTCTGGAAGCTGCTCAATTCTTTAGTGTCATTAGGGTATCACTTAGCACATTACAGTCTCCATATCCTAAAGGTACCCTAGGGGTGTAAAGAGTAAATGAAACAACCCTAAGACGGTTTATGTCATGGCTTCTTGCTCACAGCCTGCAGGTCTCCATCTTAAACCTTCTATAATCCGGGTTTAGGGAGTGGGAAAGTCAGATGAGCACTCCAATAGCGGTGACTAAAGCCTACACAGGATGCCAGGTGGTTCCACAGAGGAGATTTAACATATGAAGAACTTGTTACAAAGGTATTAAGAGAGAGGAAAAGCCAAACATAGTGAACAGTAGGCACCCAGACACCCAAAACCAACAGTGCCCCCCCATCTCTTCTCTTTGACCTTCCACACCACCAGGAGGTAGCTAGTACTGGTGTGAGCTTGGAGACCTCTATTAACTAACCATTGTTAGATTAGCCAGAGCCAGGGAGAGAAAGGCCGTTCAGAGAGACATCAAAGCAAGGAGAAGTTACAACCACTGCCAGCAACACCACCCAAAGAGAGAGAGGGCAGGAGAATCGCCCCGCATTTTCTCTCTCTCCTATCCCAGTTCCTGCGGCTGCCTCCAATTGACTGAATTTAACCAGAAACCACTAGGGGGACCTGGAGAATGTACTTGCCAGTCTCAGGAATAGAGCACAGAGCAAGGAAAGAGAGGGATAGTGAAGAAAGCAGGCCATCAGGAAGCTGGCAGTGTCCTGCAGCGTGTTCAAATGTAACCGAAAGAAAGTGGGAGAGTGTAACCGAGAGCAGCTTATAGTTAAAAACTCTGGAGGAGTCAGTCTGGGTCCAAATTACAGCCCCCACCACTTCCTGTGTTTCCTGGGGTTTGCCTCTTCAACTCTGGGCCACAGTTTCCTCATCTGTAAACAGAGATAATAATAGTACTTAACTCAGGGTGATTTTGAGGCCTGTGTGAGATGTGCATGTAGTGTGGAGGACTGTAGATTGGACTGAGGTGAAACCATTGACATGTATGCCAGTGGAACAGAGAGCGGAGCTCAGGCTTTGAATCCAAAGAAACTTAAAGTTGAATCTCATAGCTGGGAGGACTTAAGAAAATCAGTGACAATCTCGGAACCTTAGCCTTTTCATCTAAAAAAAAAATGGGGATCACAGTATTTACTTGTTAGAACCGCTCATTGAGTTATTCATTCAACGAGAAATATGACCTTCTGTCCTCCTACAACTCAGATGCGAGTAGGGGGAGATAAAAAACTAATTGGTGTAATGCCATCCAATGAAATAGGATGCTGTGAGAGTTTTAGCAGGGATGTGATTTAGAGGGAAGGTGTTTTAAACTAAAGACCTAAAGGTTTGAATAGGAGTTGGGTTAAGTTGGGTGGGGGTGCAACAAAAGCAAAAGGCATAGGTGAAGGGCTCAGAGAACAGTCAGAAGGGTGTCCCCAAGATGGCGCGGCCACCCATGACAACAAAGGCCCTAGGTTCTGTCTTCTTCACTCATGGTTCCCCTAGCACGCGTCCATTCATTTTCCATAATGTAGCTAGCTTTGTTATACGTCCAATGGGCCTGCAACTCGGCATCTGCCTACCCTGCTCCCAGTCCGCTCCTCCAATAAAACCTAGTGCTGCCCTTCCCGCCACTGTCAGGCTAATAAATACAGCCCTCTCCCTACATAGCTCTCTCGCGCGCGCGCTCTCTCCCCCTCTCTTTCTCTTGCTCCCAACCCCCACTCCCCGTGCGGTTACAGGCCCCTCTCCTTTTCCCCTGTAGCCGCTGCTTTAATAAATCTCTTGGTCTTTAAAGGGTGTGGAGTTGTTACTGGCGCCTAAGTTCTTTCAACAGGCATGTGTAAAGGTCCTGAGTTAGGCGTGTTCTAAAGACTGAAATTTAGCCAGTGTGACTGGAGTGCAGCAAGTAAGGAGTCAAGTAGGTCTAGAAATCAGAGAAATAGGCAAGAGCTCAATCATGCAAGGGCTTCTAGGCTATGGAAAGGATTTGGGTATTTACTCTAGGGGGCGAGTAAGCTGTTCAAATTGAAGATTAGAAATATCTCATGAGCCGGGTTCGGTGGCTCAGCCTGTAATCCCGCGCCTTTGGGAGGCTGAGGTGAGTGGATTGCCTGAGCCCGCGGGTTCGAGACCCGCCTGGGCAGCGAGACCTCATCTCTACAATAAATCAGAAAATCAGTCGGGCGTGGTAGCGCATGCCTGTAATTCTGGCTACTTGGAAGGCTGAGGCGGAAGGATCGCTGGAGCCCAACAGGTCGAGGCTGCAGTGGCCGGGAGCGGCCACTGCACTCCAGTTTAGGTGACAGAGTGAGACTCCAACTCAAAAAAAAAAAAAAAGAAAAAAAAAAATCTCATGAGCTGATAAATTTGAAGTGCACTTGTATGGAAGCAGTGTCCTAGACAGGAAGCTATTGCTCTTGACGTGACAATGGCTGATGGTGGCCAGAAATAAGATGGTGGGCCTGGAGGTAATTAGAGACTTGTGGGTTTCAAATACAAATCCAAGGTGAAATCAGCAAACTCAGCAATGAATTGGAGGGGAGGTCATATTGAGGAAAAGGAAAATGGCAAAGAAGGATGCCTAGGTTTCTGCCTAATTCCTCTCAGAGTTCGGGAGTCATTCATAAAAGCAAACTAAAGGAGGGATAGGTTTGTAGGGAAGAGAAGAGAGATGCAACATGCACCATGGTCTTGATAAGTGGTACGTTTTGAAGACAATGCAGAAGAGATGTGATGCAGGCAACTGAATACACACCATATTCCTTTGGATGAGTCAAGAGAAGACGTGCTAGTGCTAATCATGGATATTGCTTTAAATATCATGTTTATTAGACACTAAAGCCCCAGGAAATAGTGCAAAGGAAGATATACTCATTCAGGACAAGGGGAAGTTCAACGCTCTTTTCAAACCGTTGCAAATTATCCCCTGAACGGCTTATGCAAACAAAAATTGGCCATATGCAAAACAGTTTTGCCTGCCCATGTAGAATTATTTAATATGCCTTTTAGGAAAAGTGTGGAATACGCTTGAAAGTTTGGAAAAATCTGTTTTCAATTCATTAATGTTACCTTGTTTTTTTGGGCAAGAGGTTCTGCCTCTTAAAAACCAAATAAAAAGGACTGACTTAGGATCAGAAAAAATGGGCTCTATTCTCAAGTGCAAAATAGAGAGAGGTGAAAGGAAATAAATGCCAGTTTGGCCAAAGGATTAGGCCAACCCCTACCCCCTTTTTTTGGTAAATGAAATCTACAGTATTCATCAGAAGTAGAGACCTTCAGAGTCTGCCAACTTGAGGAGACATTGGTAAGAGCAATTGAACCAGAAGGTTGTATGCCCTTGGGAAATTATAAAGTCATTTCATAAACAGGTTCTTCACGCTCTGATAGAAAACACCAGCTCCTATCCTTACAGTCACTTGTATCCTACCTAACTTAGCTCCAGAGCAAACTTTCAACCTTGATGTATGAATGACAGGATTTAGTGGAATCATTGTAATATGTTTACAACCCTGAGTAAGTCTCTTGAGCCTCCAGCCTGAGGTATCAGGAGTAGTCACTTGGAATATTTTCTGCTGATAGCTTCTCTTCTGCCAGGAGCTGCTATAGTAGCGGTGTTGGCCTCAGCAAAACCCATGAAGTTGTATGCCATGCATCTTTGACTGCCAGCCCTCCTTCTACAGACAAGTATAGGAGAAATAGAGTCTATGTTACTTACTCCTGAATTTTTGTGAATGGTTTGTGGTGACGTGTGAGATATAGGTGAGTTGGCCATAAGTAGAAGTTGGCTCAAAGTGAAGAAAAATATATCAAGTTTGGCAAAGCAATGAACATGTACACCATAGAGGTATTGTGGAGTAGGTTGTCTAAACTATAAATACTGAGAAATGGTCATAGCACCTCCAACAATATATGGCAATTAAAGTCATCATAAAAGTCATGATGTGGTTCTTTACCACCATCTTATTGGCAGGAAAGGAAGGGAGGGTGGGAGGAGGGAGACAGAAAAACAGGAGGAGGCAAGATTTCTGTTTACCTGTATTCAGGACTCACTTTAGAACTTTAGATAGTGCTTTTACAAAAAATTAAACTGACTTTCCTTAAAATATTTGTTCTTTTTCAGGGCATGTTTTTATGTTTTCCTTCACTTAAAGACCAATAAGTATATCAACAATGAAAGAAAAATGTTTCCTGGCAATACTGTTAAAAGAAAATAAATGGGGCTATAAGAGCTATAGCATATAGCTAGTCCAGCATATTAGGCCATAGCATATAATGCGGAGGGCAAAATCTCTTCTCTTATTTATGCGGTCTCCATTGACTAAAGTCTGAAAACCAAAAACTTATTAACAATCTTAATGGGGGAAAAAAATCCTTATGAAAATCAAACTTTAATCAATTGATAAGCCCATCTGGAGAGGAAATTTTTCTCCAATTCATTCTAGAATGTTACTTTTAATCATCACCAATCTTCAGATTCCTGATTTTAATTAATTAGGTAATACATCACATGAACACTTATCTGCCTTTTTGCAAAACACACTTTTGGAATGTTTTTAACTTAAAGAAAGAAAAGTTATAATTTTAACAAGAGAACTGCTACATCTTCTAACTAATTCCCTTTATGGAAACACAAAATATAATAATCTATAACCCATCACAGCTGTTTGGCTAGAATTACCAATTACCTTCAATGCCTTAGAGATACTTTCCAGATTTTTACAAGTCTGCGTAGTAAATTTTTAAACCAATTTTCTTAAAGAGGATTGATAAGATTTAAAACCTTTTAGGCATATGATGACGTATTTCACTTAAACAACTTGAATATAAAACCAAGCCTTTACATAACTGGAGGGAAACGGAAACAGGGATTAAAAATAAAACACAACCCAAAAGCTGTGATTATTTTTAAAAAAGCATTTATATTAAGTTTTGAAATGTGCTTTTCGCTTGCATTTGAATATGGGTGTGGCAGATTTATGGGAATCTATGTCAAACAAATAACAAAGCCTGGTGAAGAGAAGCAGGACATTTGTACAGTCTCTCCTTGTCCCCAACTCTAATTGCTCCTTAAGTCCCCTCCATTTGGGTCGGCTCTGCTATGTTTCAGATAGTTGCAAGGTTTCCAGAGAGGTAGCTAATTGTGTGGCTTTCCAGTACCTTGCAGGCAAAGTAAATAAAGGAGTTTAGGAAAGTGACAGCACTTTAAATAACCAGATTATGCAGAATCAATAAGAAATGCTCAGGAAGTTAATAAAGCAATTACTTAAGTAGAGTGAGTACTGGCACAGAGGGGGGGAGCTTGAGAGAATACCGGTGTGCATTACCCCGCTATAGATAAATCAAGTTATCAAGTATCCCACCACACATGCCTGCCCTCCATAGCGCCCCCAGATGTGCCACTATTAATTGTCTTTCCTCTTCTTTAAACAGAGGAGTGTGCCTCCCTTATCCTCACCTGTCTATTTTGCCAGTTTTGGGACTGTCTCCTGATGCTCCCCAACACATGCGAAACGGTGTGTGCCAACGTGTGCTGCCCTTCTCACCGGTATCACCACACCTCGGACGAAAACCACTCTCGGAATGATTGCAACTGCAATTGTGACATGGACTGCAGCCTTTTTGAATCTTGCCACGAGACCAGCGAGTGTCTGGAGCTGGCCATGGAGATCTCAGAAATCTGTTACCGCTAATGCCACGAAGTAAGCACGTTCCTGCAGTCGTTTTGGCCACGGTGGGAAATTCCATTACAAGAAGACCGTGATTTCCATGTGCTGAAATGTAAGGACTGTACACATTTCTTGGATGCTATGGGCCATTTTATTCTGCACCTGTCTGGGAAAGCTAGTATTGTCAAATCAGTGGTCTTATTCCAAATTTCACAACCGCATGGTTCACTGAAAAATAAGATTCTTGATCACAGTGATGAGCAAATCTTAAATACCTCTTAAATGCCATAGGTACAAGATGTTTCTTGACTATAAAATAGCATGTTAGACCATTCTGTTATTGTACTCATCAACTTGCATCGTGGATTCAACCTCATTCACAAATTCAGGACAAATTAGTGCATTCTTTTAGGATTGACATACATTAGCTCGTCTTTCTAATGGACTCATGCATAAACATTATGCATTGTTGGTTATTATTAATAATGTATTGTATAATATCATTTTGTAATTAAAAATTTATTTATACAGTCTCTTAAAATTCACTTATATGTACAGTTTAGGTAGGAAAGGGAATTAAATGAATTAGAAACCATGTTCCTGTAATTACAACAGATGTCTCTAAAACATCTCTAGTGAATTTTGAATATGGTGTACTTCAAGAGAGTACTATAATTCTAGACCATATTATTGTATGTCTATGACTATGTCATAACAGGTTATGCATATTCTTAATTTGTTACAGAGAAGCTCTTCTTTATTCTAACAAGCATAAATGGGAATTACGTGCAAGTTTCAAGAAAATGACCTCAGATAATCAATTCTTCATTTTCCTCATTTCTATTTGTCAGGTACAATAAGCAACAGGATATTAAAACAAAATCAGATTATTTTACTAAAATTTGTGTAAGCACCCAAAAGAAATATACATGCAGATAGTTATTTAGCACCGAGTTTTCTAATACAGTGTGTGCTTCAGAAACTATATTTTTTTCTGATAATTAAAGTAATTAGTAATTATGTTGAACACTTCTTTTACTTATAATATTCTTTTTACAAAAAGATGTGCTATAAACTGGAAAGTGATTTTCAACTCAAATAAGTTAAATCAAAACATTTACAGGGAAAACACATCTAGGTTCAAGTTACTTTGGAATCTTTTTACTTTCTTTAGGAATGATTCTATAGTCGCTAGACAAATAACACTGCTCATTAATTTGTACTTATATAGTTCCACAGATATATCTCAATCTATTTATTGAATATTAAAAAGCATAATGTATAATCCAAACAAAGAACCGAAAAGTGAAATGGAGAGATGAGGGAATGTTTTGCGATGTAGGGAAGGAGCACCAACAAAAAATTTTTTTAAATACCTGTTTTTCCTGACAGGTAATTTCAGGCAAAAGCAACATTTGTTTATTTCTGTTGTAAACTAGCACATTTTTCTAATCAGAAATAAATTCTCCCACGCATTGAAAACTATTCATCTTAAAAGAAATATGTGTAAGCTGCCTCTAAATATATTTAACTGCTCTTGACTTGCTCCTGACAACACAGTGCATCCATGGTTAATGCCAGCTTCCTTCCTGTTTGACGATCATGTTATTCACAAACCACAGAGCATGAGCATGTCCCACACCCCCTACAAAGCCTTTCAGCCTCTGCTTTGCAGAAGCTCAGAGAGACAGCTCTGTACTCTATGCATAGAACTTGTAGATCACTAGGAAAAATAAAAAGTAGATTCTTAGAACAGAAAGGGAGCCTAGGGCTGTTCTTATCCAACATTCTTGTATTTCATAAAAGAAAACAGAGGCCCCAAGAACTGACTTATCCAAGACCACACAGTGAGTTAATGGCAGTGTCAGGAACTCTAACTCGGGGTTTAATTTTCTGACTAACCCTGCAGGACTCCATACTTCTCAGTCCAGCTGGTATGTGGTGATACAGCTGTTACAATTGTTAAAATACTAAAATACTACCAGACTGGCTCATAAACAGTTGCTACCTTGCACCTGTTTAGTGCTTCCTCCACATCCCAGCCCCCTCACCACCTCTCTGAGCACCCACACCTCTACCTATGGTTGAATGATGAAAGGAATAACACCTGGACCTTCAGAGGATCTCTGGAATCCTCTCCCAATAAATATGGTACTTGGTGTCATTGATTAGGCCAGGCCATATTGGTGTTAAATAGTTCACTCATCATTCCTTATTCTTTCTACTCTACATACCCTCAAATTATGCCAAGATTGTGCATTTCAAATATGAATTAAATGCTTGTCAATTAGACACATAAAAATCACCAGGTCTTATTTTATAATGTGGTCAGAATACCACAAGATCTTTCTGTGGCCTTGCTTTCCATGGTTTATTAACTTTGTTCCTCACTTTCAGAATTCACTGTGCTACAACAGAAAGGGTTGGTTATACAAAGTGTGAAATTTCTTTTCTTATAACCAATAATAAAACATCATCCTTTTTGCAAACATGAATGGCTCTTTCAATTGAATTTTTACACAATAAAACATACGCAGCTGGGAAAATACAACTGCAGAGGTAAGGCAGATCAAAAAGGGATGTGGTTATTGATTAAATACAAATATCAGAATCTGAGAAGGCTCAGATATTTTCTGCAGTGATGAAGGTCATGATTACAAATAAAGATAGTGTTGTTCTTAAAGGCAGGACTTCTTAAGGAACAGAATGTTCCGATTTAAGGAAGCACATTGGAATAAAAGGGATTTGAGAACATACAACCTTTATAGAGAATGGAGAACAGAGATTTTTGTTTTCCTACAGCTACATTGTCTTTGCTTTGCTCAATGGATTTGTTTTAATAAAACCACTGCTTCTCTAAAACCTGACAAATATGGAAAGCAATCAAGAAACAAAGTTACCTATAACTTGCTAATGAAATTTTCCCACCACATAAGCTATTAGACTTACAAAGGTAATTATGGGTGCTGGACAATCAAAGTTAATAAAGTGAAAGTCACTTCAGTTTTTTTCCATAGGCATAAGAAAACATATTCAGTTAGGGAGATTTTACAAATAGGAATCATCGTGGGAGGGCATATCAGCATTTTTTTCAAGGATAAATGTGGAGGTGGAAAAAGTTTGATGGGCAGAATTCATTACCCAATGCCTCTACATTACTCCCTCTACCAAATGGAGAAAAAGAATAATATGTGCACTAAGTAAGCTCGTGACTGTAAGAATTTTGCCCATCAAATGCAAAGTACCCCAGGCCACACAAACTGGTGGCTTCTGATAAAAATTTATATACTTAGTTTAATAGTTTGTTAGGGGCTGGGCACGGTGGCTCTGCCTGTAATCCCAGCACTTTGAGAGGACAAGGTGGATGGAATACCTAAACCCAAGCCAGCCTTGGCAACACAGTGAAAGCTTGTCTCTACAAAAAGTTTTTTAAAAATTAGCTGGGCATGGTAGCGTGTGCCTGTAGTCGCAGTCACTCAGGAGGCTGAGGCCAAAATATCACCTGAGACTGCAGTGAACCAAGATCATGCCACTGCACTCCAGCGTGGGTGACAGAGTGAGATTCCCAACTCAAAAAAAAAAAAAAGTTTGTTGGGTGTTCTTTGAAGAAGAGATCTGAGTAAAAGCCTAAGCAGTTGCCTCACACAGCTTCAGGAGGGTTGTGTAGAAAGGGAAGGGAGTACAGTCAGATGATCTTCTAGTTATTATAATCAACATGGTACTAAAGTTTATTTGGAAATTTCTCAAACAGAGATCAGGACAGCTCTTGACAGCTCTGGGAAGGAGCCCAGAATGTGGAGAAAGAATGAGGAATGGAGGTAGGTCAGATCTTGCATCATCATTTGTATATAAGTACCACCTTTTGTATATAAGTACCACCTTCTGGTCTACCATCTTGATATGCTTCACAGTTCTGTTCTTGCCATTACTTCTAAACCACTGGTTCTCAACTACTCCCTTCCTCAATTTGGCAAAGTCTGGAGACATAACTGGTGCCACAGTGGAGAGGAGGTGGTTGCTACTAGCATTTAGTGGGCAGAAGCCAGAAATGCTACTAAACACCCTGCAATGCACAGGACAAGCCCCTCAAAATAAATACCCAAATGTCAAGAATGTTTCTCTGGAACCTTTCTGTCAAGTCTCAATTAGCCATCACCAAAATTCACCTTTACAAACTGTTGGAAATAGAGTTGCCAGACAAAACACAGGGTACCCAGTCAACTTGGAATTTCAGAAAAGCAGGTTTAAGTATGTCCCAAATATTACACGTGCCCTACTTATGCTACAAAAGTGATTCCTCATTTATCTGAAATTCAAATATAACTGAGTGTTCTGCATCTCTGTTTGTTAAATCTGGCAACTCTTGTTCTAAAGACTCCACATTGTGAGATCTTCAGAAGTGATGAACCTTCAGCTGTCTCCCAGGCTCCAAGGGAGGAAGAGATGTCTATCTCTTTGGTTGGAGGCCATGACATTCATTGAGCTACATTTTACCATGTGGGTGTAATTTAAGACAGATTGAGGGAGTCTGGCTTAAAGGTCAGTTCCAGAGCATTTTCCTTCTTGTCCCCCATCCTTGGGTCATGCAGGGCCCATTGCCTTGGACTAAACTGGCCAGGTCTCCTTCTCTGCTTCATATCTGGACTGGCAATTGAGGAGATCCTTTGGCCAAGGGTTATCTTGATTAAGGAGAGAGGAAGCAGAAGTCCTCACTTAAGCCTGGAGGTCTAAACTACAATTCCTAACTCAATCCTTGGCCAGAAAGACCCATCTTTGAAGTGCTTGCATAGCTGTAAGGGAGTATTTCCCCATATCTATTTAATATCTGTTTTCCTTTCCATATACAATAATTCTGTCAGGACACTGTGGGGAAAGATGGTGAATGAGAGGGTGAAATAAAGGCATTTCTTGGTGTTGGATTACAGCAGTACCATCTACTAATACCCAAACTTCACCATGCTTTCTTAGTATATAGATAGGAGTGGACCAGGGAGACTGATGTATTCTCTTCACTACATTATTCTTATTCATTTACTTATTTTACAGATTTTTAAAAATTACATAGAAAATATTTATGTATTTTATATGGATTCTCACATTTTCTAAACAGTCTTATGAAATTTGTTCTATTATTATTTTCATTTTTCTCAGGGAGACAGAGACTTAAAGAGATTAAGTAACTTGCCCATGGTCACACAGCAAACAGGCAATTGTCACAAGGTTTGAACCTAGGTGTGTGCATTCCAAAGTACATGCTTTTAATCGCTAAACCTAAAAGTCATATGTGGGAAAAATGATCAAACCAAGATAAAGTTCAAGTATTCA